TTTCATCAGAGCTGCCTCCTGGTGTTATTACTGCAACAATTTTTATTTGCTATATTCCTCCATTTTAGGTGCCTTAAGTTGAAATCCCCCAGGAGCAAGATGTTGGGTGCAGGAGCTGGAAGATTTTCCAGACAGTGGTCAATTTTTTAACAGCTGTTCCTGGAATTGCTGGGATGTTGCATCCGGAGGCTTGTAGACTACCACAATGACTAGGTTTTGGTTCTCGACCATTTACTGCTAAAACTTCCACTACATCATTTGAGGCATTAAGCAGTTCTGTGCAAACAAGTGACTCTGCAATGTACAGGCCAACCCCTCCCTTTTGCCTGTTCACTCTGTCACATCTGTATAGGTTGTAACCTGGGATCCATATTTCGTTGTCCAAGTGATCCTTTATGCGGGTCTCAGTGAAAGCCGCGAACATTGCCTTTGCCTCTGCAAGCAGTCCACGGATGAAAGGTATTTTGTTGTTTGTTGCTGGCTTTAGACCCTGTATATTTGCAAAGAAGAATGTCATCGGACTGGTGGTATTGTTAGTACTGGGAGTGGATCTCCAATTCCTTGAATCAAGAGATCTTCACTAGCATCAAGGAATCTCCCTTGAAGATAAAGCTAATATAGATAAATGTTCAGAGAACTGACAAGTTGATAAATTAGACACATATGCAACACTTGGGTATCTTTATTGTGGAAACGTTTTGAATACAGCATATACTGTATTCTTTTCAAGATTGATGGACTGATTAAAATCAATTCAAGGCTGAGGGACTGATTACCTCAAACTCCTTCTGATCTTCACCATTCTCATTTGTACTGAACTGATGAAGCCAATGTGTGGCAAAATGTTACTTCATCCTGTTCCTCATTCTCATATCAGACATAGACAGAGATGTAAACCATAGTACTGTATCATCCTTTGCAGACAATACTAGGATCTGCATGAGTGTGTCATCCACTGAGGACACGGCAAATCTCCAAGAAGATATAAACCAAGTTTCCCATGGCATAATAGCGCACAAAATGCGTGCTAAAGGAATAACAGGAAAAGTCGGTCGATGGATCTATAATTTCCTCACTAACAGAACACAGAGAGTAGTCGTCAACAGAGTAAAGTCCGAGGCAGCTACGGTGAAAAGCTCTGTTCCACAAGGCACAGTACTCGCTCCCATCTTGTTCCTCATCCTCATATCCAACATAGACAAGGATGTCAGCCACAGCACCGTGTCTTCCTTTGCAGATGACACCCGAATCTGCATGACAGTGTCTTCCATTGCAGACACTGCAAGGCTCCAGGTGGACATCAACCAAATCTTTCAGTGGGCTGCAGAAAACAATATGAAGTTCAACGATGAGAAATTTCAATTACAGTGGACCCCCGCATAACGATCACCTCCGAATGCGACCAATTATGTAAGTGTATTTATGTAAGTGTGTTTGTACGTGTATGTTTGGGGGTCTGAAATGGACTAATCTACTTCACAATATTCCTTATGGGAACAAATTCGGTCAGTACTGGCACCTGAACATACTTCTGGAGTGAAAAAATATCGTTAACCGGGGGTCCACTGTACTCAGATATGGTAAACACGAGGAAATTAAATCTTCATCAGAGTACAAAACAAATTCTGGCCACAAAATGAGGCGAAACACCAACGTCAAAGACCTGGGAGTGATCATGTCGGAGGATCTCACCTTCAAGGACCATAAACATTGTATCAATCGCATCTGCTAGAAAAATGACAGGATGGATAATGAGAACCTTCAAACTAGGGAGGCCAAGCCCATGATGACACTCTTCATGTCACTTGTTCTATCTAGGCTGGAATATTGCTGCACACTAACAGCACCTTTCAAGGCAGGTGAAATTGCTGACCTAGAAAATGTACAGAGAACCTTCACGGTGCGCATAACGGAGATAAAACACCTCAATTACTGGGAGCGCTTGAGGTTCCTAAACCTGTATTCCCTGGAATGCAGGTGGGAGAGATACATGATTATATACACCTGGAAAATCCTAGAGGGACTAGTACTGAACTTGCACACGAAAATCACTCACTACGAAAGCAAAAGACTTGGCAGACGATGCAACATCCCCCCAATGAAAAGCAGGGGTGTGACTAGCACGTTAAGAGACCATACAATAAGTGTCAGGGGCCCCGAGACTGTTCAACTGCCTCCCAGCATACATAAGGGGGATTACCAACAGACCCCTGGCAGTCTTCAAGCTGGCACTGGACAAGCACCTAAAGTCGGTTCCTGACCAGCCGGGCTGTGGCTCGTACGTTGGTTTGCATGCAGCCAGCAGCAACAGCCTGGTTGATCAGGCTCTGATCCACCAGGAGGCCTGGTCACAGACTGGGCCGCGGGGGCGTTGACCCCCGGAACTCTCTTCAGGTAAACTCCAGGTATAGGTAATGGAGAACAATATGACGTTCAATGAAGACAAATTCCAACTACTCCGTTATGGAAAACTGGAGGAAATAACAGCTAGAACCGAGTATACTACAAACTTTAATCACACAATAGAGCGGAAAAGTAATGTGAAGGACATGGGTGTGGTAATGTTCGAAGATCTCGCCTTCAAGGACCACAACAATGCCACTATATCACATCTGCAAGGAAACTGATAGGATGGATAATGAGAACTTTCAAGACAAAAGATGCTATGCCAATGATGATCCTTTTTAACACTTTGACTGTTTTGGTTGTATATATACGTCTTACGAGCCACCGTTTTTGATGTATATATACTCATAAATTCTAGCAACTTCAAATCAAGCAGGAGAAAGCTGGTAGGCTCACATGTGAGAGAATGGGTTTGTGTGGTCAGTGTGCACCACAAAAAAAATCCTGCAGCACGCAGTGCATAATGAGAAAAAAACTGACTGTTTTTTTTAATCAAAATGCCACCAACTTTGTGGTCTATTTTCGTATAGTATTTATGGTTGTATTCTCATTTTCTTGGCCTCATTTGATAGAATGGAAAACATATTATAGAAATAGAGGTGATTTTGATTGGTTTTACTATGAAAAGAACCTTGAAATGGAGTTCAAAATAGGGGAAATGTTTGATTTTTGCCGATGTTCAAAAGTAAACAAATGATGTCATTTTCCAATAAATGTCCAAGTAGCCATTCTAATATGCAGTCATGAATGGGTTGACAGTATTTATACAATTATTACAATATTGCAGTAGTCTACATAACAGTAAATCTTTTATTTTTTGTTTGAATAAAAATTCAAAATAGAAAGCATGAGTAATATCAGAGGGGCCTGGAAACGTGACTGATGAACAAAGAAAATGTTGTTTTAGAGCCAGGAATGTCTGCATCATTCATTCTGAACCCTATTTTGAAATTGTCATATTTTTTAATTTTCGTGAAATTGGCCAAATTGCAAATTTCTGACCACGTTATTGGGTAGTCGAAATAGGTAAATGGGCAGTTTCTTGTACTCAATCGATAGAAAAGATGGATTTCTAAAGAAATAGCTATGAGTTTGGTCGAATGGAACAATGTAATTAGCCGAAAATAGGGCTCAAAGTGGGCAAAATCGCCGATTCGTAAATATCGCCGAGGTCACTAACTTCGTGAGAGCGTAATTGTCAGTTTTCCATCAAATTTTGTTCTTTTGGTGTCATTACAATCGGGAAAAGATTCTCTATCATTTCACAAGAAAAAATAATTTTGTTTTTTTTGGAAATTTTGCGACACCAGGAGACACCTCAAGATTTGAGGTTGCGACAGTCAAGGGGTTAAATCACATGTTCTCTCTAGGGTAGAATACTGCTGTATATTAACATCCCTATTCAAGGTAGGTGAAACTGCAGACCTAGAGAATGTACAGACAACCTTTACTGCACATATAAGTTCCACCAAACACCTTAACTACTGGAAATGCCTGGAAGTGCAGGCGAGAGATATATATCATAATCTACATCTGGAAGATTCTGGAGGGACTGGTTCCTAAAATGCACATAGAAATCACTTTCTACGAAAGCAAAAGACTTGGCAAGCGATGCAACATACCCCCAGTGAAAAGTAGGGGCACCACTTGTACACTAAAACACAGTAAGTGTCAGGGGTCCAAGACTGTTCAACAGCCTCCCATCAGCCAAAAGGGGCATTACCAATAGACCCCTGGTTGTCTTCAAGAGGGAGCTGGACAGATACCTAAAGTCAGTGCCATATCAGCCTGGCTGTGGTTCGTACGTTGGACTGCGTGCGGCCAGCAGTAACAACCTCGTTGATCAGGCCCTGATCCACCAGGCCTGGTAATGGACCGGGCCATGGGGGCATTGATTCCCAGAATACCCTCCAGGTAGACTCCAGGTAATGAAGATACACAAGTGTTGCACATGTGTCTAATTTATCAAAGCATATATATAAAGACTTGGTTTAAAAATACACTCGCTATTGTATACCTTGTTGTGGTTACTTTCTGTCGGAAACCTATCAACTACACACGGATCATTAAGACTGCATGTATATATCCTTCACCTGTGTTTTATTGATATATTTCATCACAATGTGGTACTGAACTTCGTCATAAAGAATTGCATGTGTTTTGCCACACATGACTTCAAGGATATGTACACCAAAAAGTGTGAATCTATTCACTCTGTATAAACCTACTGACTAAAGTATTCTTAACTGGTGCACAAATAACCTGCACATAGGAGAGAGCAGCTTATGACTTTGTAAATGGTCCAAGTCGGACCAAAATGTTGTCGTAAGCTCCTCTCTATGTGTGGGTTATTTGTGTATTGTTCCAGTCATGGTATTGTGCCTTTTTGTTCTTTATTCTTAACTGGTGTTAAATAGCATACATGTAGCCATGATAACTTTAGTGTAGTCGAAAGACTCTAAACCCAGTTAACCAACCACATAACATCAGTAGGCCTTCCTTACTCTTTAGGCCTTCAAAGGCCTCTTCAGTTACGTATAGTACTCCTGAATGATCTAGAACAGTGATTCAATTATGCGAGGTACATCACTGACCTTGACGAAGTAACCCTGCTGGTCGGGGTAAGCGAAGGCCTCACAGTCGTCATTAATAAAGGGGTGAATCCACAAGGTTACTCGGAACCCCTCGCTCTGCCAGGGGGTAAAAAAAGAGCGAACAAGTTAGTATAGTGATATCCCCATTGTCAGTGACATCATCAGAGGCACTGTGATGATACAGATGGCAGCCTGGAACCACCAGTTTAAGAAATCAAGAGAACTAAGATGTATCAGAAACATTATACTGTGTTAAATGCATTGTCTATAGTATGTGGCTCTTAAGAGATGTTAAATGAAGTAACAAGATATCAGTTTGTATTGTGTAATTAATGCACTGATCTGTGTTACAATAGACACAAATGTTAAATAATAAATCAGACATAACTGAAGTGGTACAAATAAAATGGTTCTAACTATGACCAAAATTTTTAAGGGGGTGGACCGGTAAGCCAGCGGAAGGCCTCGGTCAGATGACCAAAAGCTCCAACGGCGGGTCATCATGACTGATCCTGACGAACCTTACCTAACTTGAAGTGGTGTAGAGAGAGAGAGATTGAGAGAGATATTGAGAGAAAGAGATGAGAGAGAGAGAGAAGAGAGAGAGAGAGAGAGGAGAGAGAGAGAGAGAGAAGAGAGAGAGAGAGAGAGATAGAGAGAGAGAGATAGAGAGATAGAGAAGAGAGTAGGAGAGAAGAGAGAGAGAGAGAGACAGAGAGAGAGAGAGAGACGAGAGAGAGAGAGAGACAGAGAGAGAGAGAGAGAGAGAGAGAGAGAGAGAGAGACAGAGAGAGAGAGAGAGACAGAGAGAGAGAGAGAGAGAGAGAGAGAGAGACAGAGAGAGAGAGGAGAGAGAGACAGAGAGAGAGAGAGAGACGAGAGGAGAAGAGAGACAGAGAGAGAGAGAGAGGACAGAGAGAGAGGAGAGAGGAGACAGAGAGAGACAGAGAGAGAGAGAGAGAGAGAGACAGAGACAAGGTTATCTGCCTGATGAACTCATTCCACCTCTAAATCGACAGGATGGGACCACCTCTACTAGTAGTCAAGAGAAGGCGGACCTCTTTGCTGAACACTTTGCTACCAAAATACAAGTTCCTGATCCAGCAAGGGACCCTCCTTGGCTAGCTGCAAAAACTGCGTCAAAACTGTCAGTGGTGATAATAAGGCAGGAGGAGGTGCATTTCCTTCTTAAATCACTTGACCAAGAAAAGGCTATGGGCCCAGACAAGTTGAGCCCAAGATTGCCGAGATGTTTAGACCAGCTAGCAGCACCTGTAACTCGCATCTTTCAGCACTGCCTAGTACAGTGTAAATGGCCTTCTCTGTGGAAAGAGGCAAATGTTGTCCCTGTTCACAAAAAGAAGAGCAGAGCAGAAATCAGCAACTACAGACCAGTGTCACTCCTGTCAATCACTGGTAAGATCCTTGAGACAATAATCTCAAGACAAATGACAGTTTTTTGACTACCACTCACTACTTTGTGATCGTCAATATGGCTTCAGGAAAGACTACTTTGCTGCTGATCTGTTGTTAAACCTCTCCACTAAGTGGCACCAGTCACTGGAGGAATCCAAAGTCAGCTGTGTGGTAGCACTGGACATCGCTGGTGCTTTCGACCGGGTGTGGCACAAGGGCCACTTAGCAAAACTTCAAGCACTGGGAATTGCAGGCTCTACGCTGTCTCCTCATTGATTACCTTCATGGTAGATCTCTAAGTGTAGTTCTCAATGGAACGGAATCGGCAAGACATCTTATTGGGGCAAGTGTTCCACAAGGAAGCATGCTGGGACCGTTGTTATGGAATGTCTACTTCAATGACCATCTCATCCCAGAATCCCATGCATATGCAGACGACTGTACACCGACATTCACTTATCCAAGAGAAGAAATGCCAGCTGCTCTAAGCTACATCAATCACCATCTAAGAGCTATATCAGCTTAGGGAAATAGATGGCAAGTAACATTTGCACCTGAGAAAATGCAAATGATGATGGTTTCTAGGCACCATGATGATAATGCTGGTGCAGTAGTAAGGATGAATGGAAGGGTGTTGGCACCTGGGGAAGAACTTGATATCCTTGGGGTGAAATTTGACTCCAAACTGACCATGAAGAACCATGTTGTAAATCTTGCAAACAAGGCAGCCAGGAAGCTTAGAGCACTTCGCCGTATCTCGCATCTTACATCTTGAGTATGCTCCACTTTCTTGGTTTGCCTGCCCCCCCTCTCAACTGCGACTGCTTGACAGAGTAGAGAACAGAGTAAGACGTCTCATCTCCCGCCTGGACCAATCCTGGATAGATCTGTCATTTCAGCAGAGCCTTCAACACAGGAGGGATGTGGGTGGCCTTACTGTTATGTACAAGGCCAATACTGTCAAAGTACCACACTTGGATCCACTTCGAGGCTAGCGTGAAACAAGCTTTTATGCCACAAGACGGGCAGAAAGCAGCAACTTCACTCTGGCTGCACCCTTCTCCAGAACATCACTCCATCTGAGATCATATATACCCAGGATGACTCGAGTATGGAACACATTCGTACAGCATAATGATGTCAACGAGATAAAGTCAGTTGATCACATGAAAATGCTGGCCCAGAGATGGCTCCAACTTCATCCTGTTCTGTACTTGTATGTTTCATAACAATAAAAATGCTTTCAAATGAGCTGATGTAGGTAACAGCTCTTAGCTTGTCAATAAAGTTAGGAATCCTTAACTTGTAAATAGCTTGTCAAAAGCTATCTTCCTAGTCAAATCCTGTGTAAAAAAAGAAAATGAGAGAGAGAGAGAGAGAGAGAGAGAGATGAGAGAGAGAGGAGAGAGAGAAGAGGAGGAGAGAGAGAGAGAGAGAGAGGAGAGAGAGAGAGAGAGAGAGAGAGAGAGAGAGAGAGAGAGAGAGATTGAGAGAGAGAGAGAGAGATTGAGAGAGAGAGAGAGAGATTGAGAGAGAGAGAGAGATTGAGAGAGAGAGAGAGATTGAGAGAGAGAGAGAGATTGAGAGAGAGAGATTGAGAGAGAGAGAGAGATTGAGAGAGAGAGAGAGATTGAGAGAGAGAGAGAGAGAGAGAGTTGAGAGAGAGAGAGAGAGAGAGAGATGAGAATTGAGAGAGAGAGAGAGAGAGAGATGAGAGAGATTGAGAGAGAGAGAGATTGAGAGAGAGAGAGATTGAGAGAGAGAGAGAGAGATTGAGAGAGAGAGAGGGCTATATAATACTTTGATCTATGATATAATTCAGTGGTTTTAGCAACCAATGAACCATACAGTCGTACACACTAACACTCACCAGCGAAGACAATAAACAATAAAAGAAATTCACACTGACAAGAATACATTAAACACTAAATACTATCATCAAAAGTTAAATTAATTCTCTTGAATTGGATTTGAACAATCATTAACATCAACACACCCAAAAAACTTCCGTAAGCTTTGTACAAGTCTCGCAGTTATAAAAACTGACTTGGGCAAAAAGGCCGAAGCATAAAGGAAAAGTAAAAACATACTCTACAGACAGTCGTATAACAAAAGTCATACAGAAGAGAACAGAAACACCCACAAGCAAGTGGCTATGGGTCAGGTATGAGTATGACAGATATTCTGTGTACAGAGCTAACTCAAAATCTCATATCAATCAATCAAGTTTATTCTCTATAAGGGTTACAATGTGGGGTTTACAGATTTTGAGATAAGATGTTTTCTAACTAGTTTTGAAAGTGATGAATGTGTCTGCAGTTATAGAGTTTTCAGGTAGGGTGTTCCAGATTTTAGGCCCTTTGACACACACTGAATTCTTGTAATGGTTTAGTCAGACACGGGGAATGTCATAGAGATGTTTGTGTCTGGTGTTACGCCTGTGGGTCCTGTCACAACTATCAAGAAAGCGTTTTAGGTCAAGGTTAATATTGGAATTTAAGGTCCTGTAGATATAGATTGCACAGTATTAAGTGTGGATGTTCTGAACAGGGTGTAAGTTTAGATCTATGAAGAGTGAGGGGGTGTGTTGCCAGGGATGGGATTTAGTGATTATTCTTACTGTGGCTTTTTGTTGGGTTATTACTGGCTTTAGATGTGTTGCTGCAGTTGATCCCCAAGCACAAATAGCATAGGTGAGGTATGGATAAATGAGTGAATGGTATAGTGTGAGAAGGGCAGTTTGCGGCACGTAATATTGTATCTTGGAGAGGATCCCCACCGTTTTGGGTACTTTTTTTATGTGTTGGATATGGGTGCTGAAATTTAGGTTGTTGTCAAGGTATAGACCTAGGAATTTGCCCTCATTAAGTCTGGCAATTAGATTGTTGTCGATCTTGATGTTAAGTTGCGCAACACCTGCTCTGCTACCAAACATAATGTAGTAGGTTTTGTCAGAGTTAAGTTTAAGTTTATTGGCTGTCATTCAAGTCAGAATTTTGAGTAGCTCCTCGTTGACAATGGTGTTGAGGGTGGCAAGATTAGGGTGGGAGATGACTTAAGTCGTGTCGTCAGCAAAGAGAATGGGTTTCAGATGTTGGGATACGTTTGGAAGATCATTAATGTAAATGAGGAAGAGCAGGGGACCAAGGACACTTCCCTGTGGAACTCCAGTATCAAGTGGCCATGTTGATGAGGCTGTGTCTTTAATGGTGACATACTGATACCTATTAGTAAGGTAGGATTTGAAATATGCAAGCACATGGCCTCTCATACCATAATGGTCAAGTTTGTGGAGTAGGATGCCATGGATATTCCTTATTTTCCAATGCTGTGTAAAGCAGATCTAGCATTTTTACAATTGCATCATTAGTGCTTTTATTTTTCCTGAGTTCAAATTGGCAGGGGTTGAGTATGTTTTGTGCCGTTTATAAATGAACATAATCTCCTGTACAGAGTTTCTCGAAGATTTTGGATAGCAATGGTAAGTTTGATACTGGCCTATAGTTGTTTACATCTGTAGGGTCACCACCTTTATGTATTGGTGTAACCCTTGCTGTCTTGATTAGTGTCTGGAAAGTGCTAGTTTCTAGTGACTTGTTAAAAAGTAATGTAATAGCATGCGAAAGGTCATGGGCCGCTCGCTTGTACAATAATGGTGGGACGTGAGACAGATTCCCTGA